GCTGAGCTTGTTGGACGGTATTTGCTGCTACTGCCTTTGGCCGAATCCCTAATTTATAAAACCCCTTCTTTTGTCTTTTTTTTTCCGGCGTTCTGAAACCCTAACATGTGACAAAACAAACTGTCATAAGCATGAATGAATCCAAAGCCCACTGCCCTTTTTCACAAAGGGAGAAAGGGGAAAAGAGAAAACGAAAAATGCACTTGTTTGAACTTATAAATGGTTAGAAAGAGGTAAATCTCCACACAACAGGGAGAAAAAAAAAGAAGAAGAAAAAAAAAGAAAAAAAGAAAGGAAAAAGAAAAAAGAAAAAAAAGAAAAAAAAAAGAAAAAAGCCAACATAAAACGTATAAGGCATCGTACGACAGTAGTTCGGTTCCTATCCATCTTTGCGATGCACGGGTCGCCACATAGCCCTACCGGCTTCCCCCGAACGCAATGCAAGCTCATCATGAATGTATATGAACTACATTACCTTCCAAATACGGTCATGATGAGGGTGCGCCCTGATAATGAATGTATATACGAGCTTTGTTTCCCTTCAAATGCGGTCATCTGAGGGTGCGTAGATATCTATCTATGTACCTAGTCTATCTATCTATCTATCTATCTATCTATCTATCTATCTATCCAATATAGAAGTATCTATATACTAGATAGTATAGATACTTCTGAGAGTAAAAAAGAAAAAAAAGAAAAGGCTGATTCTTTTAAGCCCAACGAAGTCAGTTACCTGTGAAATGTGGACATGCAATCAGACTCGTTCTCATTCACACTTTTCATGCATGTAAACAGCAGCGCAGCAAACTGGCGACATGCGCCCACTCAAAACTCAAAGATATGGCAACCAGATACGAGTTCACTTTCAACTGGCTATGGCGACTCAGCGCCCAAACAACTCACTGTTCACATACACCGGATCACCCTGGATATTCCACACGCGTCACTCTGAACACTCACACATACACACACACACACTTCACGCTAAACTACAGCTATGGCAGCTATGGCTGCCTCTACCCTATCGCTATGCTACACTCCTCTCTCACCCACTTCAGCTCCGGGCTCTCTTCAGACCTCCTTGCACAAGTCGCTGTGGCAGCGCTTCCGCATGGCTCACGCAGGAATGAATGCAAGGCTGGGCGCTGCCTCTTGATTTATACTTTGGAAACTCGTTGGTCTGCCCTTTGCCATCGGCCCTTGGTGCTCACAGTCCCCAGTGGTACTTGCTGGACGGGACTGGGACTGACTGGACCTTACCGCTGACTGACTGTGGACTCACTGCTATCCTACCGTAGTCGTACTGCTATTGTACTGCAGTTTAGTCCACCACTTGACTCGCCACTTGACCACTTGTCCACTTGCCGACCTTCTAGAAGGACTACAGCTAGGCTTCTAGAACTCACTAAGACTTCTACTCTATAGATCTACAGATCGAACCTCTGCTACCTACGGACCTATGACAGACCTACCAACTGTCTACGAATGCACAGGTCACAGGTTCAACTCTCGGGCTCTACACAGATACTGTACATGGGTAGAGCGAGGTCTAGGGATCGAACCCTGGGTACTGCATCTGCTACTGCTAAAAGTTGGAAACCGTTTCAGACAGAACGGCCTTTCAGGCCGTTTTTATTGTCATTATGGTATTACAGGGAACCCCGTAGCAGCCAAATTGGTGCTCAAGCCTCCAACGAGGGAACATGCGGGAGCTGCACCCGCCAGCCAGGGGCGATAACGGAGGCCTGAATTTTCAGAAATTTGTCATGCTATTTATATATAAGAAAACCCAAAGGCCTTTTCAATCCAACTTGCCAAGGGTACATAGAGTGGACACCATATTAACTAACAGCAAAAAAAAACAAAACAATACAAAACAAAAGAGAGAGAAATAAAAACCTTCCAAGGCAAAGGTGCACTTTCATGCAAACTTCACCAAACTTTGCCTGACCCAAATTTCAGGAAATTTGAGAAATATCAGAAATGTTAGCAGAGGAATTTCAACAGTGCAAAAGGACATTTTAGAAATATCAGAAATTTGCCACGCAGCAACCTTGACCTAAAACAAAAACAGGCAAAGAAGGAAAAAAAAAAAAAAAAACACAAAATAATTGAACCCCAAACCCGAAGTTCAGATTTGGACCTGTTGGGCAGGAACTGAAACTGGGAGTCTCAGTTAACCAATTGTGAGACTCTCCCAACCGAGAGTAGGTTAACGGAGGCCTGAATTTTTAGAAATTTATCATGCCAAAAATTTCAGATGCTATCTTCGACCTAAACCCTGAGCCCTAATCTCCGAAACCCTAACTTACGTGCTACCGGTAGTTGCGGAACTACCCTCGTCAGGACCCACAACGATAATGACCCACAAAACCAGAATTCAATGGTTGGTGGGTGAAACCAGTCATAATGTGTGGTTGAATCCGATTCCTTATCATAAGATGCTACCTTCGACCTAAAGCCTGGGGCCTAATCTCCGAAGCCCTAATTTACGTACTACCGGTAGTGGAACCATCCTGATCAGGACCCACAATGAGCATGACCCACACCCAGAATTCAATGGTTGGGTGAAACCAGGCATAATGTCTGCTGTCAAACAGGCTTGAATCGGATTCCGTATCACAAGATGCTATCTTTGAGCTAAACCCTGGGCCCTAATCTTCGAAACCTCGATTTATGAAGTAGTGGAACCGTTAGTTACGGACTAAATCTCCACACTAATTCTGCTTCGGTCCAAGGATGAGCCCTATCGTCTTCAATGCAGTAGAACGCCCAGTAATTTTTGCAGTATCTACAGTTATAATCGATGCCGGGAAGTTCTGTGTCGTGAACGCCCACTAATTTTAATGCAGTAGCACGCCCCCTAATTTTAATGGAGTAGAACGCCACTAATTTTTGACTGAATGTAGCCCCAAATATAGCTATAATCACTGGGAGACGCCCACTAGTTTTTGACTGAAAGTAGCCCCAAATATAGCTATAATCACTGGGAGTTCTGCAA